GCTAGTGGATGATGTAACAGTTGAAGTACTATCATTATTGATTTCTCTCTTTACTTCTATCAATTTAATAAACAACACTGTTGAACTCAGTTACCTTTTATGGTGCTTTCATTAGCAAACTCATTGAACGAAAGAAAGTCATATTTTTTCATGAAAGCGACCCGCATTTTATTTCTCTTTCTGTTATAAGTGGTTCTATGACAGTCAAGGGTACGTGACAAGTTCACAATGGCCCTACGTCTACGAACATTTTCACTGACTTCAATGAAACGAATAGTATTGGACAAACATGGTAATTAATTATGATGAACATGAAAATCGGAGTGCATGTCACTCACCTGCATCACGTAAGATTTTTGTGATGGCTCCTAAGCATGTCAAAACACTTTAGCTATACAAAAAACGAAGTCAGTGTATATGCGTCTCAACTGAATGCCTGGTGCAGTATTTTGTACCTTGATTTTATGACAATAGCTTTGTTTTTTTTATTAAGCGGTGCCTTAATTTATCAACGTTTACGAAAACGTTAGTTCAGGATGCGGTATATTCAAACACTGTACGTTACGTATAATTGTCGACAAATTTCCCCAAAACACACGCCGTAAGGGGGAAAATCTATATTTCCCCTAAATAACCGACGTAAAGACGAAAAAGCAACATTTCCCCCTTATTTACGCTTTCATCCGCTTTATTTCCCATTTATACGCCTTTATTACCCCTTTATTGGTTGCTTGGGAACAAAGTGTAACTTTCCCGGACTAATGAAAGTAATACTGAAGTATAAGGTAGGATAAATATCTATTAATTCTGACCAAATAATGAAGAAACGTCGAGTGTTTAAATGGCTCACTAATTTTATAATCGCGGCTTTTCTGAGTGACTTTACACCACATTTACGTGCTCAGTTTCTCGTGCCTATACACCCTTTCTGATGGTGCCCGATCAACCATGCTCAGCAAATAACGTTTGGGTATTCTATGTTGAGCATCCTTTGCAACATCTACTTAGCTTAGACTATATAGTACTCGAGGCATCGAGTATCTTTTGAATATATCCTTGAACTTTGTGATTCATCATTCCTGACTTAATTGAATGTGGGATATTTGAAACATCTTTACCATTATCAAGTGTAGGGGTTCAGCCAGCAACGATACCAATACTTCTACGAATGTTCCACATATGGCCTTCCGGTAATTTGGCCTTCACTTTGTCATGTAAAGGATGCCGTATAAATAGCGGTTACATTTATAAATGAACAAACTAAGTTAGTTCACGAAGTGGACGTTACAAGAAGAACTAAAAATATTTAACTAATTAAAAACTACCATGTGGCATATTAATAATTTCACTGATTTTTGGATGCTTTTGTTGTCACTGACCTTTTGAACTTGTTTTTTTATAAATCTGACCTCGGACATTTTAGTTTCACTCTGCTTTTGTTTTCGGTTACTACGTTTTCGCTTTATTTACATGCAATAAGGGTTTGGAAACTATCCAAACGACCTATGAAATTCTCCAAAAACCCCACCATAATATTCCTATATGTTTGTATTTACACATCCAAGTGTTACATTAGCAATGCACAAACGGACGTTTGGCGCAACCTTCAGTATATTCATGAACGATGTTATTTCGCTGTGATATTATGACACATCCCAACTACTGTGGCTATTCATTTCCAAATTCCTACTTCCTGCATTTTATGAAGTACCGTTTCCTCGTGGTTGTAATCTAAAAAATGATATCGCTACATCAATCGGTTGTTCTAATACTCGATGGGTTAAAACCTGTCTAGCTCAATTGGTGGTCTCACGACATTATCATTAGCACGAACCATCAGTCTACATAATCAAGCGAATCTCCTGCAAAATGTTGACGACGTTGTTGTCCCTATCCCAACATAGGATAGCATTTTGCATCAGTGTCATTGACATGAGTCCAGAGTAACACTCTTGATTTCCTATGTTCTCTTCAATATACTCCAGTTAAGTTGTTAAAATTATATACGGCACTCTCCGTTTTTCATCTTGTGGGAATAATTTCGCCGAGTCACTTTCACTCTTGATCTGTGATCTACGACGCACACTGATTACATTAGCAATCATCAGATTTACAGACTCTAACTACAAATTGATTCATAACTTGATATGATGAAACTACTGTTTTACCGTTATACGTCTGTACTTTCAGTGAACCTTCTAAATATAGATGTAAATGGAATTCAACACATGAACAGTAAACTGTCAACGACACAGACCAACTTAAGTCAACAGCAGTTCTAGCATCAGTATCAGTTGATAGTACACTTATCGTACTCTTGCAGCAAACTGAAAGCCTGATATCTGAGGAACTCAATGACTTGTCAAATTAATTTACTTCAATATGGCTTGGCAGAGCTTTAAAATGTTAAACTGTTCCTTGATATCATCAGTGTAAATAGCCAAACATTTAACTAACCTGCGAATCATACTTATAGGCACATCGACAAATCCGAAATTCCCAGATTTATCATTACTCGCTATTTCCCGATCATTTGCTGTCGATGACTTTCCAGTTGTCTTGCAATTCAGTAATATCTGGGTGATTTCCTCATCCTCTGGAGACCTACGGAGTGCGATTACCCTTAACGTGCTTGTTATCGATTCAAACGGCCGTTAATTCTGGTGGGGGAGTGTAGTAGGGCCAAAGAAATATCATTGAACCCTAACCAACTCATCCTGTAGTCAGGTTGAACAGTTCACTGATCCTCCTCAATGTCAAGAACAACTAACGCGCATTAATTAATCGCATGCCATGGACTGATTCGTGAGGTATTAGACGCAATCTCTTCTATGTGCCTATTCTTACCAATACATTTCTGTGGTAATGTCTTTTGTGTTGTACGGTCTTCAGAGCAGCCATCGTACCTTGCTACGAAGAAAGGGTCATCCATGTTAGGTGAGGACCACGAGGCTCGACTTCGATGGTAGCTGGTTATTCACACAATTTCCGTGTAACTCGACTAGGCCCCTGATCATTCGACACAGATCATCTAGGTTGGGGATCTAGAAGTCAGTGTAGTAGTACGACTTTCGTAAGTACGTCTGCTATTTTTCGATTGACTGCACCTATTAGTGGCTGACAGGTTATTGAAAAAATATTCCGGAAGATTACCCGGTTCTCAGTAATAAAACGAACGGCTTATGCAGCAAGAAGAAGTATATTGACCAATGTTTCGAAATAAAACTGAATAGTGTTCCACTAAAATACGATCGTCAAGCAACTAATAGTTTTTTCTGTTTATTAGTACAAACAAATTATTTGTCATTTCTCAATGCGTTTCTTTATCTTATTCAACACAATGGTCACAATCAAATAAGACGGAACTATGGCAGTCCATTAAAGTGCTTGATAAGCTTGAACATCCAGGTTTATCAGCCATATCAGTGTAGAACAAACATTGTCAGTATTGCAGTGTAACACCGGGCTTGATGTTGTGAACCTATGAAACCTGTAGTTTTTGTGTGAGTTCAGCGGTATCTATTGATTTAAGTTCCGAACAAAGAATCATTTGATCATTTTCGCAGGACACCTGAAAAAAAGATTGGGGGAGAGGACATTGTACAAAAGTTAATTATGGTGCAATAATACCGTCTAACTACTCCAGCTGTATACAACTCAATACAACACTATCTACCTGGATGAATTTCATTTCGGGTTTGTTATAGCACTGGGAGTTTAGGTAAGCATCCCCATAGAGGTAAGCTTATAAGTCTTTTCATGATCTTCCCGACCATAAACATCGTAGCAATAGGTCGTAAATTAAAAGCTTCAACCATAAATGCTACTTTTACAAACGGATGCGGTAACACTGGTTTACAGTCGACAGGCAGTTCACCTTCGACAAGCAGATAAGTGAAGAGAGTGCTAATAAAGGGGTGTAATAGATTTATTCATGAGACACATCGTTCCTTATATCTAGAATAAGATGGCAGCTGTCTTAAAGCTGACTTTTTATCCGAGTGGTTTTTAATAAGATCTTATTCAAAAAGCCTTTAGTACTGATAGTTACTCTTCGTTTTATCCATGGGAGATGCCAGACTAGTGGTTGTAATAGATCGTTATCGGGGATCGAGGAACAAAACAGTTGGAGCACGAGATTGTCTTTTAAATCCACTAAGTTTTCACCATTCAGAAAAGAATAATAGGAAATATAATGCCCAAACGAAATAAGGAAGTAAAGAAATACTGGGGTTATAATGTTTTGACATCACCAAGGTGTTTTCTACCAACTCTTAACAACCCAACCTAAGTTATTACAAGTCTCCAGGTTGTGTTTTCTCACCACTGTGACTATATGAACGATTCCTTCACTCTCCCACATTGCCCGGATATTCTGTATCTCTGTTTTTTGTTTCTTTGGACTTCATAAAGAGTATTGGGTTCGTGGCTTTCGGAGTTTTCCAGGCTTTATGAAGACTCTTCAACCCTCAGACTAGAGTTTAAAATTGTTCTAGTGGTTCTTTCTGACTGCGGTTTAGCGAGACTCCTTTTAAAGAAGCGGAGCGAATGATCTTAATTCCACTCTTCTTCCTCTATTTGGGCTTGTGACCTTTTGGTGACTCCTAAGGGATTTTAGGCACAGTTTATAATCTTGTTTAGCTCAGCATCGTTCTGCAGTTGGCTAGATAGAATCTTATAATTTGACGCCACGTATTCCAGAATACCGGATAGATTCTTTATTAGGAACGGAGTATAGCAACAGAAGCAATAAAGCAGATGTAAAGGTGGGTGGGACTGCTAAGGATAACTTTATATAGACTATGAGATATTAGTAATATTGTGGCTGACTGAGGATGTACTTTGTCACTTAAGTTTTTTAGTAACACCAAGAAAACTAAGACTAAACAAAAACCTGTGTAAATTTGTATTTTAGGATATGTTAACTACCACAAATGTCAATGAACCCATCTAGTTAAAACAATCTGAAATTCTGCAGGCATTCGAAGCTTGCGCTACTTACATATGTTAGTGATTATGTCGACGCAGTTGGTTACAAGTTTCTAAAAAGAGTGACACTGGAATTTATCCTCAGGGCATCCAAAACGTTTTGTATCAGTAACGTCAACGTCTGTCGTTCGAGAACAACTGATAAATTTACCAACAGTAACGTTTAAAACATAACTTGACGTGAATTCGTAGGGAAAATAGACCTGTTGGTGTTATTGTAGGTGGAAAGTAGACTATCTAATGTTAAATTAAGCTAAGGTTAGGGCTTTAAATTCGAGAAGCCTGTTTTAATAGGGAGATTTAAGACTAGAAATCTCACTATTTTTTATCTCGTACTGCAGCTACTATGGAGAACAATAAAACAGTTTGGTACAAGAACCCCTTTATTTGCACCAAATTTCCTTATGGAATGCTAGTTAAGTTCCCTCATTTCTTTTGAGTTGCTGTAGGAATGAAGCTAAAGTTGTGTTAAATAATTACTTGACGTTAACGTAAAACCGTAACTAATCATATACGGACGAATACAATAACTATGTCCCCTAGACTGTCTCTGGGCACGTTTTACTAAAGAGCGAAGAGGCATTGTCAAGTAATCCTTCGCTTTATTTTGAGATCTATTTCCGCTGGTTTTTTGAGCCGTATATTTCACAGGTTTTCTTTGGTCTCCTGTTGTACATTTTAAATAAAGGTTTTATCATTTATCTATTCGAGACATTCAAAGTGTTACTATTTACGTTTCTGGTTAACAATGTTATTTACTGTTTTTAGGTTAAAACCTAAAATATGGTGACCAGTGGAAGTAGTCTTGAAAACAGATCCTTTCAAATCAGGGTGATAATAGTATCACGTAGAAGTAGTGAAAGTTGACATATTTAGCTAACAATTCAGGTGACACTTTAGGTTGTAGTCTTAGACAGTATTACATCCTTCAGTGTGTAGTAGCACCTATCCCTTTAACTTTTATTACTAGGACGTAACAGAATTTTCCGGTGTTTATTTATGTCTTGGGATGTAAACGACTGGTTAGTTCGGAAACTTCTAGTTTTGTATTGACATGGAGTTGGGGGAATAGATTTTTAACCTATCAATCTCCCACCAAACTTTGTATACTAAAACTTCAAAGGCAAACCAATACAGACTCGGTGTATAGTAATCCTATAGGATTCAAAACTTAATATTAACATTTGGGCATGCAAACTGCTTTCATTCATTACACATGTCATATTCATATTTTTTCATTGGCAAAATTTACTTTTAGAGTTCGGGAAGGTGAATTGGCGACATTCATAATGCTGTTTAATTACAAACGCGTTAATTTTTACATCATCTGTTAAATATTGGTGGTGGTATAGAAAATGGATGTTGATGGTGTGATTATTGTTACTTTGTAATATAATCTTAGTCATTCCAGAGTCACTGAAAACGGAAATAGAAGAAATAGCTCTAAAATCGGTATGCTTATTTGTTTACTTACTCACCAATGTAGGGAATTGATGTACGTGATTATGCTGCTCAAGTTGAATCAGAGTTAACGAAAATAGAAGAATCACTTATAAAGACATGTAAATTTTATACATTTATTAGGTATACATAGATATAACGGTCAGTCCTGAAGTAGCTAGTTTGCATAACCAAATTATCTCATGTGATGCTATCCTAGAGGTTTGTTTCTTATTTCTAAAGTATACTTCCATCTTAATTAAGCGGATAGAAAACATACTGACTAATTTTCATGAAGATTTGGGTGCCATTAGCACAGAAATTCAGGATTTGCAAAGCAAATCTCTACAAATGAACACTCGGTTGCAAAACAGACAGGTATGTTATTGCACAGTAATGATTTAATTTTCTGTTCACTAAAATTATTATTTTTACTCATGTTGAATATTTTTGAGTGAGTTAATCCTAATGGTAAAAGGAAAAAAATTAGCAAATACGGTGTTTCTGCCGACCACGAAATATAATAAATGATAGGCATTAGATGCTCAAATATATCTAACGTGTTTGATAAATTGATATCTATCGCATTATATATAATCTTAATGCGGACCTGGACCTCATTTCACTTATGAGGATTTATAGACCTCGGTTGTATTGAATCGTATTTATTCCCTCGGTTGGTATCTAAGCTGCTAAGTAAAGTTATTGTCTGGGAATTTACCTCTTTGTGTTTTTTGTCGATCTTGATTTAGGTTTTTCTTTAGGTGTCTAGATTTAAAGAGTACGCCTGCATAATGAGCCTAAGGGGATTCAGTTGATTCACCTTGGAAAATACTTTAATACGAATAGGCGGATTTAACTAGCTAATAGCAGAGTAATACTAAGATTAGTTGAATTATCACACAAATTATATTCTATTCCTAAGTGTTTTATAGCTTTATCGAAAAAGAATTCGTTTAGGGAAAAGAGCCAGAATTATTCATAAATGTACTATCCTGTATACAAATCATATTTTAAAATCCTTATCAATAACTTCTGAAGCTTTAGACAGTCAATAAGACTTTCCATTATCAAATTTAGTCAATCTTCCTCGTGATCAGTATTCAAAAAAGTGAATTCAGTGCACAAATATACAATCAGTTAGCTAGTTGTTTAGTCAAATCGGATGAATCGTATCACGTATATAGTCTATAACCCATGTTAAGGTACTATTGACACTTTGGACATTGTATAGTTTCGTTTCAATTGATTTGTTTGTGATACATTTTAATTAATACAATGATTATATTTAAAGTAGGCAGTTTTCTATGGTAACATACAAACATGTCCATCCCTTGCGCTTACGGTATTATGTTCATCCAAACGCTCAGTAAGTAAGGACACTAAAGTAGACGGTAACTCTTGAGCCACTTGCTTATGCAAAGAGATGATACTTTCAAAGCTTACAGACTTATAATTTCATTTTTGTCACATTCTGACAAGCCAATAAGTCACTTGATTTTTCCTCACTGATTTATTTCTCCCTAGGTTGTTCGGAGTAATTTAAGCCAGTTTCTTTCAGATATGGCCATTCCTGAAGAGCTTATACGGTAAGTATCTTGACCACAACTATAAAGTTACCTTGTACTATTGTCCATGAAGTTGGCTTATTAGTTCTTCAGAATTAGTTTTATTCTGAAGTTATATCGGAATTCTCTTCTTGTTTTTAAAGCTCATTGGCAAAACTTGTTTGTCCCACTTTGAAAGCTGCCACCTGTTTTTAATGGTAAATTATTTTAATGATGTTGAGTACTCAAAACAAGTAATGTTTTATCTAGCAGCCACTTTCAGTTAGTCTCTTCAATCTGAACAGTTTTAATCCTTTCGATACTGGGTTGTAACGATCATTGTGAATCGCATCCAAAAGTTCCGAATAAATTAATTGGTTAACAATATAATTTGATCATTTTTTTATTATTTGAATATATATATTAGTACAAAGGGGCACCGGATACGTATGTGCACGTACAGTGAAAGCCAGAGCGGCTTATGCCAATCTGGGCCATCTTTGGCGCCTTCGTGATGTTAGTCTGGCTGTAAAAGGTCGGATCTACAACGCGTCGGTGAGAGCAGTTTTGCTCTATGCTTGTGAAACCTGGTCTCTCCGAGTTGAGGATGTTAGACGACTCTCTATGTTCGATCATCGCTGTCTCCGAAGGATTGCTGACATTCGGTAGCAACACCATGTTAGTAATGCAGAGGCTTGGCATCGTGTGTTCGGGCACAGAGATGATAATTCAGTTGGTGTTACCATCTTGAAACACCGACTTCGGTGGCTTGGACATGTTCTCCGAATGTCGCCCCAGAGAATTCCACGTCGTGCATTATTTGCCGACTCTGGGACTGGTTGGAAGAAGCGGAGGGGTTGTCAGTACATGACATGGTGTCGTGGCATGAAAGAAAGCTGCAAAGGACTGGCTTGTGTCGGTCCTTCACGACTCCCTGGTTGGGGTCTGAGAGATGGTGCTACACAGTGGCTAGAGACGTTATCAGATATGTCTCAGAATAGAAGCAGTGGCGATCCTGCTGTAACCTTCTTTTACTTTCTTCATAAAAAGTGGTTGTGTCTCCCTTACCTGAAAGATTTCTTCCGATTGTGCCTTTGCGTTCCCTGATTACTAGCACATTACCTTACACCAATCTCTTCGTTATTGTTCTCTCTTTTTTTGCGCTCCTTAGCTTTTTTTTCTTTCTTTGTATTCCTCTCGAATTTTCATTGTTTTGTGTGGCGCATATATATTGGCGCTCTCTTGTACCAATATTCATGTGTCCAAATAAATAATAAATAAATAATGCGCCACACAAGTCACTTGATTTGTTTGTGGGCTGTGATACTGCCCAGTTGCATATACCGAATTAGGTAGTTTTCTTAGAGGGCCATTCCCGAAGCCTTCGACCTAAAGGTCTGATCCACAAGGCAGTGGAGCAACGTAAGGAGATGCAGTCCCATGGTAGCCGGTGACCGATGATTGGTTCATACTCCACTTGTTCCCTTAGGATCCTGGGGCCTATGTGCACCACTGGTTTGGAATCAGGGTTTTTTAACTCCCCTAGGTAGACTTTCAGTATCCACCAACCGGTTAGATCGCCAGACATTCGCTTTTCGTCCTTCCAATTTTGTGAACAACACCCCCGCCACGAGAAGGCAGTGAGTAGGACTTCCCTGGCAGTGGCCGTATACGTGTGGCATTTTGAGAGCAAAAACGAACTCTCGGCCGTGCGAGGGAATTTTGGGGCTAATAGTTCATTCAGTTACTTCTACTGACATACCCAGTATGGTGAAACCCAAACGAAACAAATGTTCCAGCCGTTATTTCTGGATTGGTTCATCATGATATGCAAACCCAGCCACCACATCAAAGTAGTATCTACAATCGGGATTTCATTATTTGTTTGTTATTCTGCTTGTGATAAATTAACCTATGTATAGAACTGGGTTCAATAATAGATAGGTCTAGTCAATCCTAAACTTGTATGCAATAACTGTATTCACGGCAGCAAACGGTAGGTAAAAAGTAAACTGAATTGGACAGGCATTTATCGTGAAGATATTAGTATCAATTATTTACTAGGTATGTAAATAACCAGACGAGTCCAAATGTTATCTCTTTATTTAACCGTTTGATACTAGACGTCGAATTAACCGCCCAATTGATCTGATCATACGTTTGTTACAGGTTCAAAAATTAGATCATGAATATTTATATCTTTACAAGCTGGATGAAAGTAATCTAATAGAAATTATTCCACATACCGAGTACCGTCAACTGTTTTCACTACTCTCACTGTTGGGCTAAGAAAATATGTCAAGTAATCACTAACACGCCAACTTCAGAGGTCACACCAGCAAGACCATCATGTCTTCCTTGCATCTCAAAGGAGAATATTTAGTTACCAGTGTTATGGTCATAAAAGTCCTGTTTACTACAGTTAAAATGCAAAATGCTTAGCTTGATAAGTCTTTGGAGCAATTTTGGTCCCATCGACATTTCTACTCAATTTAGTTTATTGGTTTTTGTTGTCTTCTGTTTGACCTCGTACATCAGGCGTATTGACCCTGATGCCTGTTACCTTAATTTAACTCTTCGTTAACCGAGATCTGATAATTACATAGTTATGAAGTATTTTAGTGCTCTTGATGTTATTTTATCTGGAACAACCAACAGTTCACGAACTCCTTTTTAATATTAATTCTTTTAGACATATCATGTACACTCCTGTTACTGAACAAGAGTTCCTTGAAAACCTTCATGAATTAAATCATAAAATGAATTTCTCCTTAGAGCAATCTATGGTGGATTACAAATCATTTAATGATGTTAGTGTACTTCTAAAAAAGTTGAGAATTAAGGTAGGTATATCTTTGCAAATGTGTATGATTTATTTGTTGATTGCATATACTTCAATTTAATTATTTATCTAGACCCAATATAGTCATCTCTTAACTACAAAGCACCAGTTCCGGACTGTCCTCAGTCTGCATCAGTTTATCCAGATAACTAGTCTAAATACCCCCTATCCAATATAAAAGTTTTAATTTTTTGGTTATGCTGCACTAATTAAGTGAAGGAGGTATATATGTTACGACAATTTCCCGTATGATTTAGGCGAATTTGAATATGTCTACTTACTTATAAAATCAGTAGTTCAACGGGATATTAAGGATTTATTCATTTGAGGCCTTTTCTTATTTCTAAGGTTACTACTGATTCTCTGAAATATTGAAATTTTTTCACTCGATAAACATCAGTTCTTTTCACTTGTGACAATTAGTGATAGTTTGACGTCTGAAACATAGATCCTGTTCACCAAGTCTACTTACCTACCTACCTCAGTCAGCCAGCTACAACGTATGACCAGGCATATATATGCATCAATCCAAGTTGCCATACCTCATTAGCACAACAAGATGAACACCAAATTCATAGTAGTTACTTCAATGGTAGTAATGTATAAAAGAAAGATTTTGTATAAGGATATAATGTAGGAAAAAAGAATTAGTTCGTAGAAATAAAGTAATTTTAATCTCATGGTTTAAGGGAAGACAAAGAGTGTATACACTGATACCATTGTGATAGATTCTGAGCCATGTCACCTAGAGTTTCCAACGATTGGTTACGATAGTCGCGCGGACCCCAACCAAATAGTCTGTATTTACCAACATGGCTCAGATCAGAAGTTAGTGACTTCAAGAGCTGATGCCACGTTTTAGTTTGGCCGCCCCTAACTTTCTTTTACCCGTCTCCAACACTAGTCAGCATTGCTCGTCGTGGTAATCGGTGTTCAAGAATACGTAACACATGACCCAAATATCTTAGTCGATGAAGATTCACAACTTATTCGACCGATTTACCAGCAATCCCTGGTACCCTTCGTCTAACCTCACTATTACTTACCCGGTGATCCCAGCAGATGTGACCAACATCTGTGACCAGATACCAGTCACTTACGAGTATCTTCTACCCTTGATGGCCGCGTTTCGCAACCGTAAAGTAAAACAGAACGGACTGCTGCGCAATATACTCGTCCTTTAATTGGTAGGCGGATATCTTGTCTTCGCCATAGGTGACGTAAGTTGGCAAAAGCCAAACGAGCTTTTTGAATCAGTGAAGAGATTTCGTCAGACACCAACCCATTAGAGCTGATCAAACTTCCAAAATAAGTGGTGTCAACACGTTTGACTATTTCGCTTCCTATCCTTAGTTCAGATGTTGATGCGGGCCGATCCTGAAGCAACAACTTGTATTAAGGGGGGGAAATGCACCCCAAACATCGTGGTATTGTTGCTTAGTGCTACCAAAAGACTGCACTTTATTAGCATTTTCACCAAACTGGACTATGTCATCTGCGTATTCTAAGTTGATAGGTGGACCTCCTAGTAGGAGATCAATGTCCGAAAACTCAGTCGACGACAGCGTTATTTCCATCAGTAGATCTATGGTGAAGTTAAACAAAAATGGAGAAAGTGGACAGGGTTACCGGACACCACTTGAGGTTGCAAAAGCAGATGAAAGTTCGCCATAAGCTCTGACTCGACTAGTAATGTTCGAGTAAAGAGCCTGCACAAGGTTTATGTACTTCTGAGGTACGCCTTTCAATGACAGACACTGCCACAGAATTTCGCGGTCTAGAGTCAAATGTTGTTTTTAAGTCAAGAAAGACCATCATTGTCGGACGCCGATAAGTATACCTACGTTCTAGGACCTGACGAATGGTGAATATGTGGTCGATGCAGCCACGACCAGGTCTGAAACCAACATGATTTCCTCGTGTTTGCAGTTCACGAGTCTTGGTCAGGCGTCCGATGCTATATTAGTCAAACTATTCCCTCTATGGTTATTACAGGATGATTTTGACCCCTTGTATATTGGGACAATCAGTGGTTGCAATCAGTCCGGTGGGATTGCGTCCAACTCCCAGATTTTATCTAATATACTAGTCAACCTAATCGCTAAAATTGGACAACCATCTGGACCAGCTGCTCTTCCTCGTTTCAGACTAGCTATAGCCTCTCGGACTTCGACTAGGGTCGGGGGCCTACTTTAATGTTCCATTTACACTCTGGAAATTGTGCGTAGTTGTAGAGTAGCTGAAGGCCAGCTGAACTGCTCCTTAAAGTCTTCCGCCCATCGTTCTAAACGTCTGGACTGGGAGCAGATAAGACTCGTCGTTTTCCGTGATTGTCTCACTTACACTTGACTTTTTAATTTCAGTTTCTTTTATTAGCCTGTAGAACTGTCTTGTGTTACCTACAGCCGCCACATTTTCCATCTTTTTTGCTTTTGTTGCTCACCACTGCTCACGGTCGTTCCGCAGACTTTTTGTTAACCTGAATCTGATTTGCTTTTGCTCTTCATCGTGTTTGGAACCTGATGGGGTGAGTTTACAAGAGTCTATCAGCGCAATAGATGTAGCAGAAATCCACTGGTTTTTCGTGACCATTTGGTTCAAATCACTAACAGATGTCACTGCTGTTTCCACAGCTGTTCGTATATTTTCCCAAACAACATTTGGGTCAGCCTCGTTTTCAGAACTGCCTAAGTGTGATCTCAGTTCTTGGAATTTACTTTTGGCTTTAATGGGTCTCCTTAATGTGGTTTTCTTGCAAGCATATGTGTGCTCGTATTAGAGCATGGTTGGGGTCCAAACAAGTATTCCAGAACGAGTTACAGTCTTCTATTGAGCCTCTCCAACGATGACTGATGACAGTATGGTTTATTTGAGTCCATCGTTCGTTTGGTACGGGCGGTCGCCATACTAGACGATGTCTTACCATGCTTAAAATTAGTGCTTGCTGAAAATAATCGATTGTCTAAGCGCAGTTGCAGCAAACGGCCCCCATTATCTGTTTTCTGAGATGGAATACCGAAATTCCCACTTAAATGTCTTTCTGTTTGGTTTAAGCTACCTACCTGGACATTAAAGTCACCTGCTATGAGTGCTATGTCTGAGCATTTAGCTTTGCGAAGAAGTTCAGAAAGCTTTCTGTAAAAGTCTTCTTGCACTTCATCCGAGATGCAGTCAGTGGTAGCGTATGCAGAAACAACAAAAAGGCAATGACGTGTGTCCCTATCCTTCCGAGTTCTTACGGAGTCGTTTAACTGAACAGCACATAGGCGACTGTTGATGGAGATCCATTCTAATAGTACTTGTTCTGCCCTCGTACTTAGTGCTATGCCTACACCTGCCAGTCCACGAGAACCAGCCATCGGGTCACCAGATACACGGAGGGTGTATCTCGTTGGCTCTCCGTTTTGGCGAGGTGAGGTCAACTGAATGACCACACTAGGATCCTGTATGCATGTTTCGGGGACACAGCATACATCAATGGTAATAAATTCTAGAGTTTTAGCCAAGGAGGCCTGCTGGCCGAATTGGCATAGGTTGCGTACGTTGAAGTCTCCAATGTATAGTTTGGATCGAGGTTTCAGTAGACCTGGGACAGTGTTTTGCACACTAGCATCGTTGGCTATGGTGAAACTTGAGGGGGAAGCCGAAAGAGGAAGTTTAGCGTTGAAAGCCGATGTAGGAGGAATAATAGGAATTGAAGGAGGAGGTTGATTATGAATACAGTGGTCTTGAGTGTTGTTAGAGGTATGAGGGCGGTTATCACTTCCTGGTTGCCCACACCATGGAAGGGTTGTTCTGGAGGTACCTGAAAAGGAAATTGGATTACAGGTGGTTTTAGTGACCTGAGGGCGTGACCTCAGTATCCAAGGGACAACTGCCTGGGGTCGGTCAAACACGACGTTTTTGTGAGTAATTGTCGTGTTATCTCCGTACTTGTTGAGACATTACCGCAGGAGACGGATATCCATGGGATAAGGCTAGGTGTGCAGTTTTAAGGTCGACCTTTTGTAAACCCACTCTTCCTTGTGGGAAGGCAGCATTGTTGTTATGTTTTTTTAAGGAAACACCTTACTGCCGTCACTTCTCTGTACAGTCAGTAGTACGACGTCGCCCTCAAACCTTGGATTTACTACTTTTAGTCTTGCTGCTCTTCAACCGACCTGTCTGGCATGTTAGGAACTTGAGGAACGATTGTTCCAACCAATATAGCTTGGTTGATTCGTCCGGATAGGCAATCTCAACCACCACGTCAAGGTAGCAGCAACGGTCGGGCCTACCTACTTCAAATAACAGCTGTCTATTTGCTTCATATGTAGTAGTCATCCATAAATTGTATATTTTGTTCACTTCTGCTATCAGTTGTTACGTTATTTTATTTCAATTTAACTTTAGGCTGTTACAAAAATCCGGGAATTTCTGTTGGGTAAAATATACTCCTTACGTAAGCCACTTACAAATTATCAAGTTCCTCAAAACCAAATGCTGAAATTTCGGTAAGTATTTCAGGTGTGATATGTTTTTAGTTGTAAGTCTCGAGTTATCAACAAATAATAAGTATTAATTACGTATAGCATGCATAAAATGTTGATGGTTAAATCAAATTGTCTATTGATTATTTGACAACAGAAAGGACTTTTTGTAGACGTGGTGTCGTCAAACATGTATACTTTTGACCCTATAGGTATTCCTTTAAATTATGATGACGTTGGTACTTCTGTTATTACGTTTATCGTTGAGGTAATATATTTTTTGTATGAAACCTAATATCAAAGCAAATTGCTTTCTAATGGCAATCGAATGATACGCTCTATCGAATTACTCCGTAAGAGCGTACATTTATGTTGTCGAAAAACGCATATGAAAACTAGTTCATCATATATTTCGGATTGTCAGTCAATACAGATGACAAAAATTAATCATTGATGTTAGTTGGGGCTGCTTATGTTGTTTATTTGTCAACTGTTTCATTTTATTAACCATACCAAACGATGTCTACTGCGTAACATAAGGGGTTCAACTCAACTCGTGTGGCGCATATATATTTGGTGCTTCCTTGTACCAATATTTATGTGCTCAAACAAAATAAATAATAAATAACAACTAAATTACTTGATAACAGGTTTGGACAATGTTTCACTTATGTTTTATCAGCTGAGTAGAATAATTAGTTCGCACACAAAGAATGTGATTCAAAGCCGAGTACAAAAAACAGCTCTTGGTTATTCAACATTTCCACAAGTCATGTAAAAGTTCTTATTTGTCTTTCTTATTACACCAAACCCTCCGAAAAACAAACAATATGTCCTTAGAATGAGTTTTAAGGGGTCAAGAACGTCTTACACTCTTCGAAGCCATTTAAAAGCATAATTCGTTTCATTTAGATTGAATATTACTTACTACAGATTAACGTTACAAACAGTCCCATTTAATAGATAGAAGAATTGTCCTAGAGCGAAATATTATTTTCGAAGTGTTAGTTGTTTCACCATTCCAGTTGCAGCATGGATCTGTTGAAAATAATTTGTGTTATTGCTGATCACATTATTGCCGTTCTATGTGCTTCGAGACATGAACAATCAATTTAGAACTGGTATATACTTTTGCTTTTGTAATTGAATCGGTCCGTTTGTGAATAAATGTTACGTCAAGATTCAATTGTTTTCAATCTGACTGACCTGAGTTAAATTATACCAGTTGAAGAAATGTAAAATTTAAGGGTGATAGTAACATAAAAAGCTTATTTTTTAAGTGCGAAAATTCCGACATGCGTTGTTACCTGATGCATATAACTGGTTATATTTTTCAAGTCATATTTCAACATTTCTATTGGTGTTTTGTTCCTTTGTATCCAGATTTTACAATTCGTTCCTCTTAGCTCATGATCGAGAGATAGCTAAAGAAGTTAGGGTGGAGTATATCAATACGATGAGTAAAGTTTACTACGCCTATTTTAAAGCTTATGGTGGTAAATTAACCAAATTACAAGTTAGTCACTAAGTTTTACTAAAGCTTAACTTCATACATTTGTAATTCCTTTCTACTTTATTATTTTTCATGGAAAAATGTATCGTTTTAAATTTTGTGCCTTAAATGACGGGTTTGCCTCAGTGATATTTTTGTCTTAGTTGTAGTTAACACCAGTATAATAGTGCTTAATGATAATAATCTAGTTTATTGCATGTTCTTATGAAAGGAAAAAATAGTACATCATGATCAGTGTCTATCTGATTTTAACAAATAATTTTGAGATTGTTAAATATTTATCTGATTTAAAGTACTAGGTTAATTAATTGGGTGGTATCAGCGTTTTCGACTATACAAAAGAATATACCGTTATAAAGATAATTTGTAAGAAGAGAAAGTATAAATTGTTTGGAAGAGAAAATCAGATACGTGGGTCTCTTAAATAAACCTAAATTTATATACAAATAGTATGAGTAGTATGTTTAAATCCCCCTTTTTTAATCGGGACCGTCTCTCACTCACAAAAAATCTTTCGTTCAATATGCAGTGAATATACGTCTTCATAATAGTAAGTTATTATTTTAATTGTAAATAATTCTCTTGTTCAATGTAACTCAGAAATCAGTAAGAAATGCACTCAACTGCCAATAATAATAATAATAATAATAATAATAATAATAATAATAATAATAATAATATCCTAGTGAAGATTAAATTGCGGGTAACTTCTGGGAACCATTAATGGACTAATATATATATTCTTATTGTGCAACTGTTTAGTAACTAGATTGTGTATATCTATATTCCTTTTATTATAAGCTTTATTTTGACCTATGGACTATTATGATACGGTTTACTATTCTTAAATTATACTTAGTTTGTTGATTACAGTCTCCCACGATCATAGCCACTTTTTGGCTTGATCTTGTACAAATGTTATTTTCTGTTTTATAGTGTGATGTGGGCCGTTTGGCTTGTATATATACCAGGTATGTTTGAAATAACTGGTTCGTATAGTAGAAGATATTATTGATATTCTGGACTCAACTGGCAGGACTAGGATGGAAAAGGATCAATAAAGACGCTGGGCTGCTCATACTGGTCGAACGTCGTTGGTTTGGCATAGTGCTAAGATTGTATGAGTCGTATTCTGATTGGCGAATAAGTCACATGGTAATTAGCCGGGCTTAAAGTCACACCAATTACCACGTACAATCACGTGGTTACAATCACAGTAATCAACCTACGAAACCCATCACTGTAGATTCCATCTAATTAAATTTTGCATGATTTATAATTTTTCATAAAAATATTACTATTCTGTTCTTTTTTCTCTCGTTAATGTAGCTTGATACAACTTATGAAAAAGATGATTTATTAGGGAAAAATCCAGATAAATACAATCCTGTATCATCTACATCCAGTCTGATGTTCAATTCAATTACTAATGTTACTAATAATCCAACCGTATCAGTGTCTTCTAATTCTGGAACACGTGTTGGACTTTTTGGATTAAGTGATCGTGCACTTCGTGTACTTAGTAAATCGAATCTAGAAAGTGCTATTATTTTACCACATGTGGCCAGCAACGTGGATGCTAAAGTAAGTGAATCAGTATAATTTTCTGATTTCTTGATTTTGAATGTGCTAATACATTTCCGTAATCAAAAAGGTACAAGTATTTATAAACAGTTGTCTATGCAAGATACTCATTATCCGTTGGCCGATTACCATCCGCAGTAGCCTACTGTGGGAGAGATGAAATCAGTTCCCAAATTGGAACTTTTTAATTAGAAGTTACTTGCTTAATAAATTGTGTTCTATTCTAACTATCGAGGAAGCAGGCGTGGAAAACTATTCTGGGCCGATTTTCACCAGATATTTCTCTTGGTTGTTCTTTCATTATCATCATGTCATTTGTTAGCCGGTCATCAATACTAGATAGACAGTCTAGGCTAACTAATTAATACTCGGATTATATCGGTATAACTGCTCTCCTGTATTACGGTTCGGTCATCCCAGTCCTCAAAAATAGCGAACAGGAAATCTATTTATTTTTTCGTCACATCAGTTTCTGAAATTGAGACTTACCTGTTTTAATTTGTACTTCAGTGACTGATATTAAAGCTCTCACACAGTGTATGGTATAAAGATTTTCGTAGAGGACTGGAATCAATTCTCACCAACCTAATACTAAACTTGAAAGGATGTTAGGGTCTTGAGAATAAAACTTTATTATTGACTTCAAGTTCATTTCTGTTGACTTTTCAAGAAGAGTTGCCAAAATTAGCGACAAGTCATTCAGACGTGATTGTTAAACTATTGTTTTGAACGCTAAGTAGTTTTCATAAGGATTTCCCACAATAATTTAGGACAGTTTCTTTTGATTTTAAATAACGACTCGCAATAGACATTTATCACTATATAATCTTGAAGGTTTTTTTCTGTTGTACAGAGTTAGTGATCAGTTTATATAAGATTTTACTTTTGTTTTACTTTCCAAACCCTTTATTTCCCATGTAGTACCCTATTGAAGTTTTATTTCGTTCCATTCACTACGCGCTTCTGGATACTGCATGTCGAGAATATTATTTTCTGTCAGATTTCTTCCTTCTTAGCACGGAAACTGAGTCTGTTGATTCACCATTATCTTGTGATCAAAGTACACCCAATCAAGGTCGAACTCAAAGTGGTGTAGCCTTAGCTCATTTATTCGAGCAAGTTATGAGTCGTAGTTTAAGTTGGATACATAAATTTACTGGGACTTTCATGATTTCTTCTTGTTCTCATGATGCGATCGGTTTATTAATTTGTCTCCAGCTTTTACATGCTTTGCTTCGTCTGGCTAAAGAGAGAGGGGTACCTGTGTTGGATGAGTAAGTTTTAAAGATTATGCATTTATTTTTTTCGCAGTTCTAAATCAGTTTTTACACCATACATTTCGTAAACTTTCTCTGCCTTGATTCTCATATCGCCTAAATTCAGTGTGATAGTATTCATTATTTTTATTTATTTATTTATTTCAACACATAGATAATGGTACAAAGAGGCACCAAATACATATGCGCCACACAAATCTCATTCGATATGTGTGTGAGGGCTGTGATACTGCCCGGGTGCCAAAACCGAAGCAGGGTGATAGTATTCTCTTTAAACGGAGGTATCCGTTTGCGAAACTGCGATCAGTTTTAGGATATGCTAAGTATACCTTTCAACCAATGATTTATTAAATATGAAGTATAAAAACTAGGGACTCAACAACTCCACTACGCAGCAGTCATTTATCTCATGAATCACTTCCTTTTATTGATTATTTCATCCATCCCTGCCCGTGTTTCTTTTCGAGATAACTAAGACTTGATCTTCAGATACACAGTCCTGTAGTTTCGTTGGTTTCCTCAGGTGTTGTTCTTGTGTGAATTTAGGAAAGTTGGTGGTGGTTACCTCAAAAGATGAAAATGCTGCAAAAACACGATGAAATATGTTTAGCCTACCGATAACACCCATTTTGGGTAGCTGTATGTAACATTTGTAGAAGTAGGTGTCAGTGCCAATGTTAGATTTGATAGTTTCAAATGGAGCCTTGGTTATCAACTTAATAACGAATATATTTTGTTGTACTAATTATGCTTGTGTTAATTTTATTTCGGTTATTTATTTACTCTGAAGAAGTGACTTACATTAATTCACATAACACCAAAAATACAATTTTCTACTCATTGGGATATCACGAAAAATATTTTTTTATTAATCGTAGACGTTTTCACCAAGTTTCTGTTGGTAAGCAACTGGATATCTCTCTCACTTCGTAAATGCTATAGGTTTGGTAATGTAAAATGGCGTATATATTTGGATATCAAAAATTCAGCTTGGATGGGATTGTTTGTGTGTTCATAATTATATGTTACCGGATTAACCTTCACTTGAAATGAGATGGTAAGCAATGAGGACTATTAATCAAATTAGTTACCCAAAAACCTCTGAGGGCAAGTATGTGAAAATTACATTTAGAATGTGGAAAAACATACTTAAATGATTCAGAGGCCAAATATTTCTCTTTCGTTCATTATTCGAATTAATTCCACTTCTTTGGACTAAAAGTGTCTAGGTTTTTGATCGATCGAGTTCAGTAATGAAGGTATAATCCTAAAAACTAAAGTAAACATTTGGCTTAAGTTTTTGGATAATTTTCAGATGTTTTGTTTTTATCAATGTAAAATCAACAGTAAAATCTGATTCCCGTAGAATATCTGATATTTATATTGTACATTTTATTCCTCTTAGATAATTGATTTTTGTGCCATTTTACTCATTTAATAGTTTTTGGGGTAAAATGACTGAGACTTTGTGGGTACGTGTTACTGATAGACTGGATGTACATATAGCATCCATGCTGCAGTATTTGGATGTCAGCAGTTTTAGTACAGATGCTCGTGATATTATGAAGTCCAATTTATCCACCCTAAATGTCAATATACCTACAAATGCTACCGGAAATACCGCTGTCAGTTTACACCCTAAAATGTATGCTCTTATTCGTCCTCATTGGATAGCCAGACGTTATGCTGAATTAGCTGCTAGCCTACATTCAATCGGACATCAATTCCCTGGTAGTAAGTGTGCTCTTATTGATAGTGTTATCAATACTCAGAAACTTAGCTTCTTTTATTCCTCAAACTTATCGTTATGTTTACTTTAGAAGAAATGTTTTGTTCTACCTTTTTTCAGGAGTTAAAAGAAATCTATACATAGGTGTTACAATAATAAAATCACAGTGATAAAAATCATACCTTTCTACGTCACTGTACAACTTATTTCTCATCTCTTTCGTTCTGTTTCAAATCTATTTCTAACCATGTAGTTACGGAGATGAGTTAAATGGCTCCCTGTTGTCAAACTATACTTTATTCCCATAGAAATCTACTCACGGTGTTGAACTCATAAGCTCAATATTTATATTATGCATCACAGATCAAGGAGTTTAGTAGTATCGATGGTTTTAAGTAAAAGGTGTTATTTATAATTCTTTAATCGAATTGTTACTGACTTGTGGTATGTTACAAACTTAAATCTCTAACTAGACATTGTTTAAAGATATGTAGCGTTAGGATAGAATACGGATGTACTAACTTGTAAACTTGTTTTTAAATACGATTTGAGAAATGTTGTGTATTATTCGACTATTTGTTTGTTATCTGTACATCTAGAACAAATAAGGTAAACTAATAAAAACCAACTTATTGTCGATTTAGCTTTTTTACAATTGTTATTCGTTGTAACGTTAGCCATCAATACATACAGTGGCCTGCTTAAACATTTGACATATTTATTTTCTAACCGTGCAAATATTTCAAATGAACTGCTTATTTGTTCGAATTGAATAATTATAAATGGCAACTATACTTTCTCACATTGTACCATAAGAGGATTACAAACTTGTGATACTAAGTACTGAAAAACTCAAACAGAAACACTACAGTTCTTGCTTTATTTCTCTTTTTATCTATCCTTTGACAAACAAGACACAAATGTATTAAAAACAAACACCCTGTATATGCGGATGAGAAAATAGTTGTAGCAGCTTTGTTGATTGAACAGGGTTGAAAGATACTAACTATATAAAACATTTTTAAAATGTGGTTCGAACAATTTCAATTTGAATGTGCGTTGAATAAATATTTGTCGTAACATTATACAATTGATGCTGAGGAATCTTTACTGTACCGAAACTTATAGTATTGAATATGACTATTATTACTAATTAGTTATCTAATTTTGGTATCAACCGTTTCTATATACGTTTAACAATTTGTATCATCTAATTAATCATAATTACGTCTTTCCAAATATTGTGGATTAGCGGCTAAAAACCTTAACTTCCGACCCTTCGACCACATATCCAAACCCATTTCTACCTATTTCAGCAATTCGCTAGTTGTCACAAAAATTGAACCTCATAGCTGAGCACATATATATATGCCGACACTACACATGATTTTCATTATTCTTGCATAGGTTATTCCTGTTATGACTTAGAAATGCATGAGTATGTGTCTGCTGTTTAAAAAAATTAATTGTAAATTTTTCTGTAAAATTTCATTTTACTCCACAGCTCCACTTTTTGATGACAGTATGAGCAAATCTAAGAGTTCAGAGAGTTCAAATTTACAGTACTCTTTACACAATGAACCAACATTTCAACAAAATCTTGCAAATTTGAAGCCTGCTTTAGATCCTCGTATCCTTAGTCGTTTGGCTCAATTGCAAAATCAATTCGAACATGTACTGAATTCTCTAGCCAAAACATTTTCACGTCCAAAATTAGCACACATATTTTTAATCAACAATTATGATTTGGTTATAAGTGTACTAACTGTAAGTTTTATAGATGTGCATAAAACTTTAAATTATTGGTTCTTACCTATATTCATTTGTTTCATTTGCTTGTTTGAACACTTTATTTATTGTGTAGGAACATGGAGCTGCTGATTCTTCCGAGGTTGTTCGATGTCGTGAAGCTGTAGCGAAGCATATGACATCATATATCGATGAAGCCTTGTCACCTTATTTTGGTTGTCTGATATCTTTTGTTCGCGATGTTGAAGCCAGATCAACTAGTGAAGGTCATCATCTGTCGAAAAATCAAGACGAAGTGACCCAAAATATTCGTAGTGAGGAAGGTATTATACTGCCATTCATTGTTAAAATAACGTTATCTATGGTTATCGTGGTATATATGTACTTGAATCTTTCTGGATTCTAGATTTTCTTTCAGCTCTCTTTATCAAATTTCTCTGAGACAAAATTTATGATCATAGGCTGTCGTAGATATTATTTTGCTCGACTGCATATAGAAACTAAAGTTAGCCGTTTAAAATTCTGGATCACTCTAGCTGTAAATAGCAGTATGTGATTGCGTGTTTCTAATTTGTTACTCAAAGATGAAAAATAATGATAAACTAATGTGTCTCCTAAATTGCATGCATTTCTTATTCACTATTCTTTTTTGACTTCATCATCAGCTGTGAGAATGATTCTGTAATTAGTATTAACATGAATCTAAATGAAGTGGTGAAGTGTGAATTGATGAAATTATTCAGATATTAAGGAACAGTCTGTAGATCTTAATAAATCTTGTTTTATGTTAGGATTAACTGGTAAGTTTTCTTGTGCGTTCTTTACCATCCAATTTCTCTCACTTACATAGAAACACTGATATATGAGATTTGTGAATACAAGATGAAAGGAAGACACTACAAACATTCCACCACATAAGGACATTTTGTTATGGAGGACGAACTGTTTCCACATTCGATAACAGAGTGATTACATGTAAAAAAGTGTGGAATGTTAATGAATACGTTAGCAGCTTAACAGTACGGTGTCTGCAATTATATGATACATTTAAAAAAAACTTATGTTTTCTATCCCTGCTACTTTCTTTAGTAGAAGAACAGTATTAGTTATCATGTTTACATCGGTGATAATTGATTTGTCGTCTTCATAGTCAAGTTATTGTAGCAGTAGAAATATATTCTTGATGACCAGTTATCAAATTCTATTTTGCATTCTTCAAAATAATCGTAAGCATTATGGTTTAAGGACACTATGATGTCAGTTGCCTTCATTCATGTTGTTTCTTACGAAAAATAGTGAATGCTTATTTATTAACTTTATTGGGTTTAGTTACAAAAATGCGTATCAAGGTAATTACTTATGGAGTTTCATTTAGGTCCCAGTAAGCAAATGCTATTCTAGGGTAATTACAGTGGTTTTACTTGTTTGACATTTTCTAATTGAAACAAACTAACTTCACTTCAGTAACGTAAGAGAAATAAAGCAATTCAACTTGCAAAGGTCTTTTTCCTTCTTTGTTAAGGGACATAACAAAAATGTGACTGTCAGTTTCTCAATAACGGATTTTAGATGAACCATAAGTGCTTAAAATAATCCTAGTCTACTACCTATCGTGGATTAATCTAATTGTTATTTGACTTCAAAGCAGGCGGTCAACGTGATTTGATGTCACAAAAATACCGCTGTACAAGCCATATATTGTCTTTGGTCCTAAATATTATCGTTTCTGTAAATGTAGTAAAGCCGAATGATAAGTTTTCAGCTAAATAGTCACTTACGCCTGTAACCCCTCATGGAGAAGGATAAACCGCCCACCAGCATTCCCGATCTAACCCTGTCTTCGGCAATATTTTCTAGTTATATCCAGTTACTATTCTTCCTTCTCATGTCTGCTTCCGATTCCCAACGCAGTTTGTTCTTTGATCTTCCAATTTTCCGTTTCCCTTCAGGAGTCCAAGTTAGCGCTTGTGTCGTGATGCAGTTTGGTGATTTCCGTAATATATATCCTATCCACTTCCAGAGTCTTCTCCTAATTTCCTCTTCAGATGGGAACTGATTTCTTCTCTGCCACAATAGGCTGCTGTTGATTGTATCCGGTGAACGGATATTGAGTATCTTGTATAGACAACTGTTTATAAATACTTGTATATGATTAATGATGGCTATATTAGTTCTCCACGTTTCAGTTCTGTACAGTAGAACTGTCTTGACGTTCGTATTAAAGATTGCGACTTTGATATTGGTTGACAGTTGTTTTAAGTTCCATATGTTCTTCAATTGCAAGAAAGTGCCCTTTGATTTACCAATCCTCACCTTTACGTCTGCATCTGATCCTCCTTGTTCGTTGATGATTTTTCCCAGGTACATGGAAGATTCCATCTGTTCCAGAGCTCCACCAAATGTGATTGGGTTGGTGTTCTACGTGTTGTATTTTCGAATTTCGCTTTTTCACTTGTGTATGTTGACGCCTACTGATGTAGGGGTTGCTGCTGCACTAGTTGTCTTCATCTGCATTTTTTGTGTGTATGGGATAGAATAGCTAGGTCATTTGCGAAGTCCCACCAAATGGTATCAATCAGTTATTTAGTTGAAGATTCATTCGGAAACATCTCTCATGATGCACCACTGACGTTCGAAATAGTGTTGTAGTTTATAGTAGTTTGAATACTTGAGGATCCTTTGAATACTGACTTATAAACTAGTTATGTTAGTATCTTATCAAAGCATATCTTGAAATACATATATTTTCTAATTATCACTACATCAAAATGTATTACACAACCGAGAAAGATAATGTATTACACATAACAATACTTGAGTTATTTTTATTGCTAAACAATATGGTAAACAGTGCGGTATGTTAATTTTATGGTGAATAGTGATATTTTGTACGTTTAGTCTGCAGTTATTTCATTTTATACCTTCACACCTCTATTTCTCATCAGCTCGGGTAACACGAATAGTGAAGGGTTTCAATATTGATTGGAAGAATTCGATTGAAAAGATACATGATGAAATCATGATGGAGTTTGCCAATTTTACCTTAGGAACACAAATATTTCAGGTTAGTATTACTCTGTCTTGTGAGCCTACATTTATGACTAAATTTATGATTCTCCCTTCTATTTTTGTTTGTATGTTTAATTGAGTATCTTTAAACTATTTACATTTGTGGCTGTATCATTTTATATTCCTATTTTGTGTATTCCTTTCAAAACTCCGCAAATATTTAGACATGTTTGATTATCAGCCCCCAAATGCTGTGGTATGGTCGAGAGTGGGGTGGGCCCGCTCCCCTCTCGAAATGCTTTCACACAGCCACGCGTATACAGCCTCTGCCAGGGAAGTCCTACTCACTGCCTTCTCGTGGCGGGGGTGTTGTCTACGAAAATGAGGAGACGAAAAGTGAATGTCCGGCGCTTTAACCGGATCCCAAACCAACGGTGCATGTGGGCTCCAGTATCCTGCGGGAACAAATGGCGTATGAACCAATCGTTGGTCACCGGCTACCATGGGAATGCATCTCCTCACGATACTCCACCGCCTTGTGGATTAGACCTTGAGGTCAAAGGCTCGGGGAGTGGCCCCCTAAGATAACCACCTGCCTCGGTATAGGCACCCGGGCAGTATCACAGCCCACACACAAATATGAAATGCCGATATTTACTGAAAACTCTATTTTTGCTTCGATTTACAGTCAAACAATTCACACTTATTATTATTATTATTATTATTATTATTATTATTATTATTATTATTACACTATTTTACACTAGTCTGTTCATTATTGTTCTTTTTTTTCTTCTACGCTCCTTACCTTTTTTTCTCTCTTCTCATTTTCATTGTTTTGTGTGGCGCATGTATATTTGGTGCCCTGTTGTACCAATATTTATGTGTTCAAATGAATAAATAGTAATAAATCTATCATATCCTTGTAGTGTAATGTGTGCTTTCATTGTTGACTATTCATACACTTGCGTCAGCTGTATATTCAAAGCTTACTTTCTATATATTGTGCAAATAATTTATACGTATCAGTTCAATTAGAAATTTCACTACCTCATGAAATCTAGTTTTATTCTTGCAATTCCCACTGTTGATTGATACTGGATATAAAATAATTATTCACACTAGGATGATAATCACATTCTCGATTAGTAATATATTTTGAATATATACTTTCTGTGTTCGGTATAGTGTTAGAATCCCAGGAATCTGCGAAAATCCAAACATTCGTCTGTTGCAACAAATTGTATATACTCACTTTATAGGGTTTTTGTTATAAAAAAAAGTGGGCATTCACTGTGATTGTTGGCTTCGTCGGGAATCTGCATCCATTGAACCTACTCGTTTAATGAACTGTAAATTTTATAATGTAATCATTTGGTTATGACCACATATAGCTATAAGCTTCCGTAGCCTATCTGTTAAACATAATGTATGGAGTTTGGTATATAAGCGATTATTTCTCACCTGGATCATTTGTTTAATTGGAACCTATCCGTTGGTAGCGTTGATCACACTTGTGCTACGTGTCGCTTTTGTGAGATAAACACTCATTTGATAAATTTTATTGATCGTACCGTTTTTCATATTGATAAGTAACTTTGATGAGCATTTAAAAGATCCGCGGTACATGCAGGTGAGAACTGACTACGGAATTTTAATATCCCTTTTAAAATGTTTCAACCATAAAATCTCATTATGTTTAGTATCAATAAATTTACTCTTTTTATAGGGTTTACTTGCTCAACTTATTCAACACTACCATCGTTTTCAAAAAGTGATGACACAAAGTCCCTACAAAAATATGCCTATACGTAATCAATTGGTAAATATACATCAGATTACAAATGAAATGAAAAAGTGTAAAACAAACTTTTCTTAAAGTTAATTGAATACATCTTGCATAACATTGTCATCATCATCATCATCATCATCATTTTGGTAAACATTTCAAATCATTCCATTTTGTCGTTTTGGTTCTTTTTGTTGAGTTGTATTTTAGTTATTTTGTTCTTTACCTATGTATAAAGTGTTTTTCTTGCTACAACAATGTGCTTTGATGATTTAGTTGTTGTTGGTGTTTATGACTGACGAATCTTTATTTTCCAACCTCTATTCTCATAGTATGTATTCATATGTTCTTTCCTTGTTCAGCTTTATTTACGATGTGTTTTATCATCAGTATTTTTATTTTGGAATAATAGTTTTTAATTTTTTGTTTTGTTATTTATCTTTGCTCTATATTTCCACTTATCTTGCTTTGCCCTACTATTTGTGTTTTTTTAACTGTGGTTGTGCTAGTGTAATATTTTTTGTTAAAAAAAAGAACCAATGATTCAGCTGTTTGGTGTATTTCATATTGTGTACCAAATTAATGACTATTACATGGGATTATTATAAATATATAACTTAGGAGTGAATGGTGTATGTAGGTTTCGGACCAACAAATTGTGTTGTAACATGAGGTTTCACAAAATTTCTTAAGTCATACGAAACATTTCAAGAAGTCCAACACTGTCTGATGTTGTTATGTTAGTTAATTACACTAGCTTTTATGGAAATGTTTTATGACAGGCGCTTTGATCTCCACATTACTTTACATTTTTTCTATCCAATTCAACGAAAAATTTGTTATATCAGAACTACACGATCCACACGTGGGACTCGGACCAAGGACCTTTGGTCTCACGTACAAACACTTAACCTCTAGACTACTGACTCGTTATCCAACAGTGTTGATGTCTAGCTCCAATCGATCCATGGTCCTGTGGAACCCTTCATCCATTGCCGTCTAGTGCTTCCAACTTTTCAATAGTGGTCTACCTTAGATCAGCTCGTAATTTCAATTGCGAAAATACTACAACCTCCTCAAATTCTCATACTGATATTTAAGATTAACTAATAATAAAATGATAGCGTCAAGAACTTCGCTGGTTTCATTGGCCTGTTAGAGTGACAATGTCTCAACAAGTGTTATGTTCTGTATACTCGTTTCTAGAATGATTCAGTGTTATGGCTGATAACGCATAGTATTTTACTGTATTGGTGAGAGTAAATTGCTTTGCATGAGAACAGATAGAATCGACAGTTTTTGTCAAAGTTGATGATCATACACATGTCATAAATCGAGTTTCAAGAACCAAGAGAAACTGAAAGAAGTTTTTTTTCAAGGCAAAGCTATAAATCTTCCCATAATTTACGTAGTAGCCTTAGTATTGTGCTAAACACTTTAACTTTCTAAATGAATGGTATGAAATGAACACCAATTCCAACACAGTTGATATCAGAATCAGAAACGTACAATTAAAATTTTTAGATTATAATCAATAGCTACAAAACATTAACTATGTAGCTTAGTATAAATTTTTAATTCATTTCGTTTTAATAATTATTTAGATAAGAGGATATATTGCATTTTTTTTATTATTTGTTTGTATAAATTCATTTTAATACCATAAGTAATGAAACAAGTGGGCATTTTATCAACAAATCACCATAAGGTAAAGCTAGTTCACAAATAAGTATAAACGTTATGTATGGACTTATATGTTGACTTAATTTGATCATCAATTTATGAGTTTTCTACTGTTCTATCAAATAAGATTGATTTTATCAGTATGAACATTCTGAACTAGGTTCAAGTTCAAAGAAATATTAAACAATACTGAATTGAAAATTCAAGAAATAATTGTGTCACGTTTAAATTTTCCTGAATGTAGATTTAATTCCATTAAACAAATGTCTTTTAGCTATTTTAATATAAAACCATCATATTTACAATGTGAAAAATCCCCTGCGACTATAATATACAGACTAGTCAACAACAAAGTTAAATTGACTTTTGATTCTAAAGGGATATTATTACCAGTGAGTATAGAGTTTATGCAAATCAAAAATATTTCATAACAGAAATAATGAACCATATTAGAGTAAAATGGTTTGTGTAACCTATATAGTAAAATATTACTTACTTACGCCTGTTACACCTAATCGAGCATTGGTCGCCGACCAGCATTCTCTAACCCACTCTGTCCTCGGTCTTCTTTTCTAGTTCCATCCAATTCTTCTTCATCTTTTTCATGTCTATTTCCATTTCTTGGCGTAATGTGTTCTTTGGCCTTGAGGATTCCAAGTGAGGGCTTGCCTTGTGACGCAGTTGGGTGCTTTCCTCAATGTGTGTCCTATCCACTTCCAGCTCTTCTTCCTGATTTCTTCCTCCGTAGGGATCTGGTCTGTTCTCTCCCACAGTACGTTGTAGCAAATAGTGTCCGGCCAAAGGATTCGAAGTATTTTGCATAGACAACTGTTAATAAACACCTGTATCTTCTAGATGATGGCTTTCGTAGATATCCGAGTTTCCGCCCCAGTAGACAGTAGAACTGTCTTGACATTTGTATTGAAAATCCTGAGCTTGGTGTTGGTTGACAGTTGCTTTGAGTTCCAGATGTTCCTCAGTTGTAAATATGCTGATCTTGCTTTGGCGATCCGCGCTTTGACATCTTTATCAGATCCACCCTGTTCATCAATGATGCTGCCAAAATATGTAAAGGTTTTAACATCTTCCAAATCTTCTCCGTCAATTGTGATTGGATTGGTGCATGCTGTTTTGTATCGGAGAATCCTGCTTTTTCCTTTGTGTATATTGAGACGTACTGCTGCTGAGGCTGCTACCACACTGTTCGTCTTCTCCTGCATTTGTTGTTGCGTTTGGGATAGAAGGGCCAGATCATCTGCGAAGTCCAGATCGTCCAACTGCATCCTAGATGTCCATTGTATCCCGTGCTTCCCTTCAGATGTTGACGTCTTCATGATCCAGTCGATCACCAGGAGAAAGAGAAAGGGTGAGAGTAAGCAACCTTGCCTAACACCGGTCTTCACTTCGAACGACTTTGTCAACTGTCCTCCATGCACGATTTTGCAGTGTAATCCATCATATGAATTTTGTATGATATTGACTATCTTTTGAGGCACGCCGTAGTGTCGAAGAAGTTTCCATAGTGTTGTCCTGTCCACGCTATCAAATGCCTTTTCGTAGTCAATGAAGTTGATGTAGAGTGATGAATTCCATTCAATTGATTGTTCCACAATTATCCGTAGAGTTGCGATTTGGTATGTACACGATCTATCCTTACGGAATCCTGCCTGTTGGTCACGAAGTTGGGCGTCTACGCAGTCCTTCATCTTGTTTAACAATACTCTGTTGAAGACTTTTCCCGGTATTGAGAGAAGAGTGATGCCCCTGTAGTTATCACACTTGCCGAGATCGCCTTTCTTCGGTATTTTGATCAGGAGTCCTTCTTTCCAGTCTTTTGGTACTTGTTCCTCATCCCAAATCTTATTGAAGAGAATGTGGAGTATCCTTGCAGTTGCCGCTACGTCTGCTTTTAGTGCCTCTGCTGGAATGTTTTCTGGTCCTGCTGCTTTGCCACTCTTGATTTGTCTGATGGCCATGCTGATTTCTTCAATTGTTGGTGGGCCAACGTTGATTGGGAGGTCCGTGGGTGCTGCTTCGATGTTGGGTGGGTTCAGTGGAGCTGGTCGATTCAAGAGTTCTTTGAAGTGTTCTACCCACCTGTTTTGTTGCTCTTCAATGTTGGTGATTACCTCACCTTCCTTGCTTTTCACTGGTCGTTCTGGTTTGCGACGATTTCCAGAGAGTTTCTTTGTTATGTCATACAGTTGTCTCATGTTCCCTTCACTTGCAGCCTTTTCCGCCATCGTTGCTAAATCTTCCACATATTTACGTTTGTCGATTCTGATACTCCTCTTCACTTGTTTGTTTACTTCTGTGTATTCAGCTTGTGCTTTGGCTTTTTCTGCTCTTGTTCGACTGGTATTGATTGCTGCTTCCTTGTTCCTTCTTTTTTGAATCTTATCCAGTGTTTCAACAGTGATCCATTCCTTGTGATGGTGCTTCTTGTGACCCAGGACCTCATGACATGTTGAAGTGATTGCCTCTTTGATCCCCTTCCAGTTGCTCCACAGTAGTTCCTTCTCCATTGAGTAGATCATGAAAGGCCTGGAACTTGTTGCTGAGGACTATCCTGAATTTGTTGAGTTTGTTAGTATCCTGAAGAAAGGCCGTATTGAACTTTTATGATATTGTCCGCCCCATTGTCCAGTGCTTCTTGAGTTTCAATTTCATCTTGGCGACCAGCAAGTGATGATCTGATGCTATATCAGCTCCTCTCTTGATTCTCACGTCCTCTATAGTCCTCCTGAACGTTTTGTTGATGCAAATATGGTCGATTTGGTTTTGCGTGGTGTGATCCGGTGAAGTCCATGTGGTTTTGTGAATGCGTTTATGTGGGAATATGGTGCCACCTATGACCAGTTTATTGAAGGCACATAGGTTTGCAAATCTCTCACCATTTTCGTTTCTTTCTCCCAGTCCATGTCGTCCCATGATGTCTTCATATCCAATGTTGTCCGTTCCAACCTTGGCGTTGAAATCTCCCATCAGAATGGTCAGGTCCTTTGTTTGGCACTTCTCGACGATTGACTGCAACCTATTGTAGAATTGATCTTTAGCGTCTTCATTGTAATCGTTAATAGGCGCATAGTATTGGATAATATTCATTGTAATGCCCTCCTTTTTTGTTTTGAACGAGGCTTTGATGATCCTTGGTCCATGAGATTCCCATCCTATAAGCGCATTTTGCGCTTGTTTGGACAGCATCAATGCAACTCCTTGTGTATGTGGGGCATTTTCTTCTTCATGGCCGGAGTATAACAGAAGCTCTCCTGAAGTTAGTGGTTGTTGTCCAACTTGCGTCCAATGTGTTTCACTGATACCAAGTACCTCTAGGTTGTATCTTCTCATTTCTGCAGCAATTTGGAGGGCTCTCCCGGTGTCCCACACTGTACGAACATTCCATGTACCTAAATAAATGGTCGCTCTGGTTGTCAGAAGGGGCATCGGCCTCGTAACTTCCGAAGGAATTCAGCTTTCATCATGGGGCGTCATAGTTCTTCTAAATGAAGACATTTTGACTCCCAGGGCAGAGGTTAAAAGGTTTGAATTATTTTTTCTGGTGAGCGTTTTTTTAGCGAGTTAGTTTTCTACGGGATGGGGACGCTAACCACATGCCCAACCCTCCTCCTTTATCCGGGCTTGGGACCGGCAGTAGCCCGCGGAGGGACTCCAGGCGGAGTTATATAGTAAAATATACACAGAAAGAAATAAAAAAACTAATGTTTTCAAATGTCATTTCTGCTTTATAAAGACAAGATTCCTTGATATCTTAAAATATCCTGGAAATAGTACACAAATTTTTCGAGATGGTGTAGAAGATTTGTAACTCAGATGAGTGATGTTGGTGGAGTTTTGTTCTCTGAGCTA